CGGAGCCTGGGGACCTTGGGAGCCAGCCTTGGGTACGGGAGCCTGTGGAAGGGGTCGCTCCGGCGACGCGATGGGGTGGAAGGGGTGCAGCACCTCTTCCTGAAATCTCCTCTCTGAACCTCAGGTGCTCAATGGGTACATCGCCCCAACTTTCCCAACAGGCGGTTGAAAAACAAATGAACACACCACAGATGCTAGCTGCTAAAGCCCTTGTCTGCTCGTTGTTATTGGTATCCATGGTGAATCAGTGCCCCCCGCCCTCAAGCCATCTGAAATGGGGAGGGGGCTGTGAACCAGACACCCCCATGGGCCCCGCTCCCCGAGCTCCCAAGGCCTCCCGCAGAGGCACCGTCAGTCGAGCGCTGATCATCTGCGGGAGAAGTCCGCCCACCAGTATCTGAACAGCCGGCCCGGCAGCCGGGCCTGCACGTGAAGCAGAGCGGCCCCCACGGCGGCAGCCGGGCAGCGGCGGCCAGAGCCGCCTCCAGCGCCCTGTGGGCACCCCCTTGTGGGCACCCACCTTGACTGCCCAGTGTGGCCTGGGGCATTGGCAGCCCCCCCCCCCGACCCCCAGCACCATCAGGCACACGGAGGTCCCTTGGAGCTCCGAGGCCCTCTGGGGGCTTCCTGTGGGACTCCATTGCCTGGCCACATCTTGGTGGAGAGAGCACACCATCCCCACATCAGCTCCCCGTATGGGGACACAGAGCAGGGACCCGGGGCCAGGGATGCAACTGGGTACTGCAGCCGGGGCCCTTGGTGTGCACAGGTGCAGGTGGGCCTGGCCCGGGACGAGCAGCCAGAGGGGAGACAGGCAGACGGAGGAGGGCTGGTGTAGAAGTGAAGCGGGGCTGTCCTGGAGGTCCTCGGAGCCCCGGAGCCGGCGGGGAGAGAAGGCCAGCCTGGGCTCTGACCCCAAGGGTCCTTCGGATGCAGGGTGTGGAGGCCACGCAGCCACTGTCCACAGTCCCAGCCTCTGGGCCATTCCCCCCATGGACACCACTCCCTCCACCCCCAGGTCCAACGTTTGGGGGAGCGTGACTAGAGTAGTAAACTGCTGCTGATGGGAGCTAGGCCCGGGACGGGGTTCGCCCATTCTCTCAGCCCTGGGACTGGACGTGGATGTCCCTCTGGGGCTCTCCGAGGTCTCCAGTCCTCTCTGGGAGCAGAGCTGGGGACGCCTGTCATCTTTCAGGTAGGCCTAGCTACAGGTGACTACCAGCTTGGCGCGTGTGTGTGTGGCCTGGGGCAGGGGCACAGACTGCCCCCTCTTTCTCCATGGCTGCCAGGCAGCTCTGGGCACGTTTTGTGTTTGAACCTAAGAGCAGGGTACCTTTTACCCGGTTCTTTGCTAAGCTCCACCCTGCACACCCGATTTCTTATCTGGACCATAATGACTCCATTGTCCAGAGGCTTTCACCACGAGCAGACACAGATCCTCTTGGCAAGAAAGAAACGCAATTTGGGTCCCCAGGGTTTTGAGTCTACAGCCACCTCTGCTCCCCAGGTTGCCCTCAGAGGACGGGGCTGAGCCTTGTGGGAGAGGGGGGGAGGGAGGAGCTGGGGAGGGCAGGGTACCCGTGGCACCCAGGGCTCCCAGGCAGAGAAGGAGGGAGGCTCCTGGTCCCGTGGTACCCACCGCGGGTGGGTAGCCTGTTCACTTGGTAGGAGCCGGGGACCGCCTTCCTCCACACCAGGCCCTTCTCATTCAGGGGCTGCTGGAGTACGAGGGGGGGCGGCAGGGAGCTGACAAAAGAGCGGAGACTGTCAAGCCAGACTCCAGCAGGCACCGCGCGGATCTGGCGCGGCGCTGGAATATTTGAGCCTTGCCGATGGATGTGATATAAAAATACAGCCAGCTGCCAGCACCACCAGGAAGGGCGGCTTCCTCCCCAGCCAGTACCAGGCCCGGGCACCGTGCCCACCGCGCACCCCCGAGGCTGAGGTGGGGGAGGGTGGGCGGGCGCAGCGCCTGCCTCCCTGCCTTGCGCCCCTGTGCCCCTGCGCCCGCCGAGCCGGTGGGCGGGCACCTGCCTCCCTGCCTTGCGCCCCTGCGCCCCTGCGCCCGCCGAGCCGTGGGCGGGCGGCTCCTGCGATGGGAGGCGCAGCCCTTCCCATCCTGCCTCCCGTTTCCACAGAGCTGGGAGAGGATATTTGGGTCCTCCACCCCCCCCCACCCCCACCCCCGCCCGTTACAGGCTCACAACTGCCTCCAGTTAGTGGAGACCCGTGCTGTGAGCCCCTGGGAAGTTCAGCACGCCTGCCAGCCCTGCGCCCCCGCACCCGGCCCCCAGCCCTGCACCCCCGCACCCAGCCCCCGCACCCAGCCCCTGCACCCGGTCCCCGCACCCAGCCCCCAGCCCTGTGCCCCTACCCCCGGCCCCCACACCCAGCCCCTGCACCCGGCCCCCGCACCCAGCCCCCGCACCCAGCCCCACACCCGGCCCCCGCACCCAGCCCCCGCACTCAGCCCCCGCACCCAGCCCCTGCACCCGGTCCCCGCACCCGGCCCCCAGCCCCGTGCCCCTACCCCCGGCCCCCGCACCCAGCCCCCGCACCCGGCCGGCCTCCTCCTCCTCCTGTCTGAAACGCCAGCCCGGAGCAGGATGCAGGGCATGTAAAGGGTCTCTCTCGTGTCCCCCCGAGGGTTCTGGGCCACCTCTGGGCCTCAGTTTCCACAATCACCAAGAATGCCCCCAACTCTGGTGTTGTAAAGAGAAGGGAGGCGGCCCAAGGCTGGTACCTAAAGATGAGAACTGCCGGGACAGAGTTGGGGGATGGCCCGCAGTGGACAGGGGGTCCCGCTAGGTCCCGGTCATGCACTGGAGAAGCCGCCCGGCCAGTGGCTCCCCAGCCCGCGTGCAGGAGTGGGCAGGGCCCACACTACCCAAAGCCACAGGGCCTTTCTGCAGCAGGAGCGGGAAGAATCCGAGCTTGTCTCTGTTTATCCAGCTGAGATTAGGAAAGGAAAAAGGGCAGCTTCCTGACAGTCCCTGAGAGCCAGGGCAGGATCCACCCTTGCTGTGGTAAGGGTCCCTGAGGCTCAACACCTGCCCAAGCTGACCGGCAGCATTGGCCGACCTCCCAGGGGCGCGAATACAAGCCTGTCCCCTGGGTGCCCCTGCCCATCCCCTGGCTAGCGGGACTGCCTTGAGCTGAGGGACTCAGGGTTCTGCAGCCTGACGCTGGCCTCTTTTCAGCCTCTTGCCCCGCACCAGCCCTCCAACCCAGCAACCCTGCCAGGGTGGGTTCAACTCTCCAAGCCCCAGGAAATGAGCGGGTAATGACACAAGCACCAGGAGTAGGATTCCTACCAGAAAAGGCGTCCTGGACTGGACTGGGGTCCTGAGATGGGGGAGGGCTGTCTTCCCATCTGGCCGGCCATTTGCAGTTCATTCTGGATGGATGCCGGGTTCCAGGGGCTTCCCTGTAAGGGGTGGTAGCCGTCCAGATACCTCATCTTCTTGCAGCAGGGCCCTGCCATGGCCCCCCGACTGTGGGCAGGCAGGACCAGGCTGTCTGGCAGGACCTAGGCAGCTTCCAGAGACCCCGTTTACAGCTGGGAGCAAGGCCAAGCCAGCGATGCCCTGTCCAGTGGGCCCTCGGACACGCAGTGTCCTCTGCTTTCCACGCCCGCGTCTGCGCCCGGGCACAGCAGGCGAGCTGGTGTGTGCTGAGACACAGGTGTACAAGAGGGGGAAGGAGTCTTCCCCGAGGGGCAGTCCAGACCGGGAGCGGGCCTGCTCCTGTGCAGGAGTCAGGGATGACAGGCAGGACGGAGAGCTGACCCTTTCCGGGCAAACCCCTGGGCTGTGCCAGGCTCAGGCCCAGGAGAGACGCATGCTGGGAGGCCCATAGGGAAAAGCCCAGGAGCTGGGGAGGGAAGGAGGCCCCTGGGGAGCCCAGACAAACGACCAGGGGTGGGTGTCACCCCCTCACCCCCGTTAACCCACGAGCTGCTGGCATCTCCAACTGGGGCCTGGAGAGCCTGTGGGATGCTGACCTCACGAGGTCCACACAGGAGCCCCTGGAGTGAGGGCCGAGGGGGATGTGCAGCCACTTCCCGCACTCCTCGCTCTGGGCGGCCACCACCTTGGCTTTGGCTTAGAAATGATCACGATGGCTATCAAGCTCTCTCTCTCTCTGGCCCAGCACGGCGAGCCTGGCTCTGGAGGAGTGGATGAGGACCTGCCCGGTCAGCAAGCCTGGCTTGTCCGGGGGTTAAGAAGAGCTCCACTTCCCGGGGCGTGCCCCAGCCTGCAACAGCCAGCCTACAGTGTCCCAGGTCTGGGGGACTGGCCCAAAGTTCTCCTGAGGCCTGGACTTAGAGCCCAGCCCCTCCCTGAAGTAGTGGACGTTCGAGGGGTGGGGGATGCAAGGAGGCTGCACCCCTCCCCATCCAAATTTGGACTCAGCTTGGAGCCTTCATTCCTTTGCTGCGTAGCTGCTTGCAGCACCAGCATCCTGAACACATATATACCTAAGTATATAGGATTCAGGGTTTGCTGTTTGTTTCTGTCTTTAGAAAAGGCCTTTCCTCACTGTAGGGGAGCAGCCCTCCCCCACCCTCCCCGTCCATGCTTGGGGCTGGGCTTGGGGTGTCTCAACCCCGCCTTAAGGACAGCTGCACGCCGTGCCTAGATTACAAAGGTTTATTTAGAAAATAGTTTGGTTGTGTTGGTTGTCCTTTTTTTTTTTTTTTTGGCAAACATTTAAATGCGCTCAGGAATCAGATTGTCAGCAGAGTGCCCTCTTAGCCCTCCACCCCCAGGCTTGGCCCCGGGTGGTGGGACTCAGCCCTTGTTCACACCGACACTGGGGTGTGTTTTGGGGGGGGTGCAGCCCTGGAGGCCATCCAGAACCCCGACGCCGGGGGTCACACTCGGGCAGATCCCTGTCCAGGCCCTCGCTGAGGTGGGAAGGCAGAGGGGCTCCCCTCTCTCCTCCCCCCTCCCTGGGGGCCGCTTCTGCCCCCCTCCCCTCCCCCCCGGGGCCCAGCCTGGTGCCCCGTGGTGGTGGTCACTGCCTGAAGCCCCTCGTGCGCCGTCGGAAGAGGATGTGCTTGAAGGAGCGGCGGAAGTCCTGGTTGAAGACGGTGTAGATGACCGGGTTGAGCGAGCTGTTGCAGTAGCCGATCCAGAAGAAGAACTTGAAGAGCGGGTCGGGCAGCTGGCAGGCCTCGCGGCAGATGCCGTAGAGGCTGTAGCTGAAGAAGAAGGGGAACCAGCAGAGCACGAACACGCCCATGACCACGGCCAGCACCAGCGTGAAGCGCTTCTCGCGCGCCTGGGCCACCCTGCGGCGGCACACGCTGCTGCGCGCGCGGCGCCGGCGCGACAGGAAGAACTCGACGGAGCGCGCGCTGGCCCGGGACGGGCGCCCGGGGCCCGGGGCCTCCGCCGCCGCCGCCCCCGCGGGCCCCGCCGCCGGCGCGTCCCCGCCGCCGCCCGCGCGCCGCCGCCGCCCGCCCCGCCGCAGGGCGCCCCGGCGCCGGCGCCGCTCGGCCGCGCTGCTCTCGTCCGGCTCCACGGCGGCGGCGGCGGCGGCGGCGGCGCAGTGCCCGTTCTCGCCGGCCGCCGCCCCGGCCGCCGCCCCCGCCGCCAGGTCCGGCCCGTTGTCCGTGGTGGCGGCCGCGCCGTCGGGGCCCGCGGGGCCGCGCTTGTCGCCCAGCGCGCGCGTGCGCAGCTTGGCCACGCGGTAGATGCGCGCGTAGACCAGGCCCATGATGAGGCAGGGCGCGAAGAAGGAGCCGATGCAGGACGACAGGATGTACCAGGTCTCGTCGTTGAGGCCGCACTGCGGGTAGGCCGCGCCCGCGGGCTGGCGGAAGAAGGAGACGAGCGGCGGGAAGGAGATGACGGCCGAGATGAGCCACACGGCCACGATGGTGGCCTTGACGCGGCGCGGCGTGCGCTTCAGGTTGTACTCGACGGCCTGCGTCACCGACCAGTAGCGGTCCAGGCTGATGGCGCACAGGTGCACGATGGACGAGGTGCAGAACAGCACGTCCAGCGCCAGGTACACGCCGCACCACACCGGCCCGAAGTACCAGTAGGCCATCAGCTCGTTGGCCAGCGAGAAGGGCATGACCAGCGTGGCCACCAGGATGTCGGCCGAGGCCAGCGACACGAGGAACAGGTTCTGCGGGGCGCGCAGCGCGCGGCTGGTCAGCACGGCGATCACCACCAGCACGTTGCCCACCACGGTGAAGACGATCAGGAACCCCACCACGGCCGCCAGCCCCGCCACGGCGCCCGCCGAGTACTGGCCCGGCGGGGGTCCCCGGGCGGCCCCCGAGGCGTTGGCGCCGCCGCCGCCCTCACCCGCGCCGCCGCTCGCGTTGGGGCCCGGCGCCGCCGCCACCGCCGCCGTGAGCGCGGCCGCCAGCGCCGGGGACGCCATGGTCCTCCCGCCGGCTACGCGGTCCCGCCCGGAGCCGGGGCGCAGCCGCCGCAGGTCGGGCGCCCCGGGGCCCGGGTCGGCGCCCGCATCGCCGCCTGATCCTGGGGAGCGCCCGCCGGGGCCCGCGGCGCCCCGCTGCCGGCCCTCGGCCGTGGCGGCCCGGCGGGCGGGCGGGCGGAGAGCGAGGGCTGCCGGGCTCCCCGCCGCCGGCGCGCGCGCGAGCGCAGAGCTGGAGCCGGGGAGAGCGCGGGGACGCGGCGGCGGCGGGAAGGAGGCAGGTCCCGGGGTCCCCGCGGCCCCGCCCTCGGCCCCCGCTCACTCGGGGCGCCCGGGCCGCGAGCCCGCGGCGACGACGCGGCCCCGGAGCCCGGCCGGGGCGCAGGCTGCGGGCGGCGGCGGCGGCGGCGGCCCGGGCGCTCCGCCTCCCATCCGGCCGGCTGGGGCCAGGCGCGCCGGGGCGCGGGCTTCGGCTCCTCGGGGGCCCCCGCGCCCGGCTTCCGGCTCCAACTTTACTTTCCGGGGCTGGGCGCCGGCACCGCCGCGAGTCCTCTCGCTGCTCCGGGGCGCGGGCGCCCTCCGCGGCTCCGCACCGGCCCCGCGGGCGCCGCCTCGCCGGCCTGGGTCGCCAGCGCCGCCGCCGCCGCCGCGCGCTCGGCGCGAGTGCAGCCGCTGGGGCTCGGCTTCCAACTTGGGTCGAATTGCGCGGCGGGGCGGGCGCGCGGGGCGGGGCGGGGCGCCGGGCCGGGCCCCGGGGAGCGGGCCCGGGGGAGCGGGCCGGGAGCCGCAGCCCGCGGCCGCCTGGGCGAGCCTGCCCGCGCGGCGCCGGGGAGGAGCCCGGGGCGGCGGCGCGGGGCGCGCGCCCCCTCCAGGCCCGGCCGCGGCCTGCAGGACCGGGCGGGGCGCCGAGTTCAGACGCCGGCGGCTCGCGGGTCGCGGTCGGAGCCTCCTCCGCCCCCGCTCCCGGCCTGGTCTCCGGGCTCCGCGCCGGCTCGGGGTTCGGGGCCCGGTGCGAGGACGAGCCCCGCGCCCCGCGCCCGCGCCGCCGAGCTGGGGGTCTGCGCTCCCGGAGAGCCACCTCCTCAGCCAGCCCCGTCCCCTCCTCTGCGCGCTTCCCCGCGCTCCCCGCGCGCGGTGCGGTGGAAGCCCTGGGCAGGCTCCCAAGCTCTCACCCAGGCTGGCAATCATGGAGGTTAATTCTCCAGCTGCGTGACCCCGCATTGAACGGCTCTGCGCTTAACTGCTGGCGTGCGTGTCTGTGCGTGCGTGTGTGTGTTCAGCCTCAGCCCCTTGACAAACTTCAAAACTGCAGGGCTCCGTGATGGGCGGTTTTGCGTGAGCAAGTCTTCCACAGAGGTGGCGTCGGTGGCACACAGCCTCATCTGGGGAGACAGATCTCCAGGGTAGCAGTGGCCGCGGGAAGGGACAAGTTGGCTGACATTTCCCTGTTGGGAGCTTCCAGAACCGGGCTCCCCACTCACTCCTCTTGGGGAGTGAGGCTGGGCGGACTGGAGGCTGCAGTCCAGAGGCTGGGGAAGAGGCGTGGCCTCCCAGTGCCCAGGAAGGCCTCTGGAGGCTGGCTTGGAGCAAGCCCTCCACGTGCCCTCTGAGCCCCTGAGGATGGCTGCCTCATGGCCCGGACTCGGGCCCCTGCGGCTGCTGCCCAGCTCTGCTGGCCTTGCTCCCGGGGGCTGTCACCAGCAGAGCCTACGCTGGGCACAGGGTGCCCAGCCAGGGCCGGGCAGAAATCAGCATTCCAGATGATGTGCTTGCCCTACTGTGCATTGGGATGGCAGAGCCCTGTGGCAAGCCCAGCGTCTCGTGAGAGCTAGCAGGAGTGTTGTGAGAGAGCCGGGCTCTGCCCCGCAGCCGGCAGCCATGTGGGCCTCCCCGGACCGAGCGGCTCCTCGTGTGAGCGGGACTCCAGGGGTGTGCAGGGCGAAAGGATGGCCCATCTGGGGCCTGGCTCCATTGCCAGCCTTGTGTTTACAAGCCAGGCTGCCTAGGCACAAGGCATTTGGAGGAAGAAGGGAACAGAAGACCGGGGCCCCATGCCAACAAGACCTCACACCACCCAGGAGCCCCGTGCAAGGCCGGCCCGCCTGGGTCCTCGGGAGGCCCGGCCAGCGGGTAGGGTAGGCCCTTGAGGACAGCCGGCCACATGTCCTGGCTACACGGGCAGGGTAGGGCTGAGCGGGAAGGAGGGTGGGAGATGAAGGAAGCTCCCCCCCCCCCACCGTCCTTGGGTTGCGAAGTGTGCTGCAGCTGCTTGCACACAGCCAGCAAACCCCTCCCAACCCCAACATGCGAAGTTAGGCCCAGCCACTGCAGCCCATCCCGCAGCAAGCCGGCAGACAGCACCCAGAGAGATGCCTGGCCAAAGCGGCTGATGGCCAGGCCTTGCCAGGCATGAGAAGGGCAGGGCCATCCAGGGCCACACAGCTGCGGGACACTGAGTCCTGGGCCCTCAGTGCTGTGCCAGAGCCTGGCTGTCCCTGCCAAGGGGCCTGGCTGCACGGCTCCTGGGTGCTGCTAGGTGTGTCACACCATACTTAGGAGCAGCCTCAGCATGGCCGAAAGGAGCTGCCTCTAAACCACTTTACTGTACACAGAGCTGTGCGCACACACACACACACACACACACACACACACACGACACACAAATACACAGACATGCACCTGTCGTGCACATACATCCGTGTGCATGCACATTCCTCTGCACATCTGTGTGCATAACACATACGTGAGCACATCACCGGTGCGTAATCCCATGGAAGCACGCACATACCCAGTCATACATATTCCTACACACATTTGCATGCTCATTACCATCCCTGTGCGTATACACGGTGCGTACACACATCCAGTCACAAACATACACCTCCGGTACCACCCATCCACTGAGTGAATTTAAGCTGCTGACCACTGGTAGCTCTCCTGCTGTCAGAGCCTCAGTTTCCCCTGTCTGGGGAAGGTACTGTGCCAAGGTGGTTCTGAGGCGTAAGCTGGCCGAGTTTCTCCCTTCTCCCTCTCCTTGGGGAGCTTTGGGAAGCCGTGCCTGCCCTGCCTGCTTTTGTTCTCGGCGGGCACCCACAGCGGCTGCGGAGGTCTCTCTGCGTAGGGAAAGCAGGCATTCTTATCTCAAGACCGAGAGGACGTTCTCTTCCTTACAGCAGCACTGAGGATTTTCCCCTCAGGTTTACTTGAAATTTCATTTTTAAAGATGAGGCAGGGGGAAAAATGAGGCTTGCTTCTCTCCCTAGCCCTCTGTGAAGAGTTCCAGAACCCGGTCTGCCTTGTCAGGATGTGGAGGGCCGGGTGGCGGGTGGGCCTGGCTCTCGGCACCAGCCTGCGGGCCTAACCCATCCCACATTGATCTGCATCAAGGACTTGGCACCATCCGGGTCTAGCAGAGCCGGCGGAAGCCCTCCAGGGCAGAGCTGCCCCTGGGGCTGGCTGGGCTCAGCACCAAGTGTAATAGACTAGAACAGCAAGTCAGCGTCTCCTGGATGCACGCTCCGCACTGGCCCACTGGGGTGCAGATACCAGTGAGCTTCCTCGTGTCCCCACGGGGTCCCGCCTCCCTCAGCCTGTCCCCGCGGCCTGCACCGTCCCCTGGCCCCCAGCTGCCCTCTCTCGGCTGTCTCCCCAGCCTCCTGAGCCTGCTGGGTGGCTCATTCGGTCTGCAGACACGGCTGAGCGCCATCCGTGTGCATCGGCCAGTACGACGGGGAGTATGACAGGTGTCGCCGAAGGCCTCACCTCCCCCTCTCCGGCCCCCTGGCTGGGCCTTGGCCTCGGGGGACTTGGGGCTGGGCCTGCAGCCTGGACTCCATGTCACCTTGGGAAGCCACCGTCCCTTCCAGCCTTGTTAGCTGCTGGGCGGGCTCCCCAGAAGGCCAGTGCACGCTGGCTCTGGGCCAGCTCTGTGCAGGAGACCCTGGGTAGGAGGCCCCAGGCTCAGCCAACGACCCCCCTCCCCCCCGCCCACCGAGGACCAGCAAGCCATGCACAGGAAGGCTCCTTGCTGGACTCCCTGCCTGGACGTGATGCCAGGGGCTGCAGCACCCATCCTGTGAGCAGGAGTGCAAGGACGGGGATGAACAGCACAGGGCCTCTGTCCCTGAGTCTCCATGGGCACAGCCTCCGACCAGGCAGCCTTTTCTGAGGGGACTCTGGGTAGCTACTTATTTAAGCCTTTGCGGGAGGAAAATTCTGTAGGTTGCAAGGAAAGTGCCCCAACTAACCCACTGTCCACAGCCCTGGCTGCCTCCTTTGAAAAGTGACCAGCACGGCAGCTAAAATGTCCCCTCCCCCCAAGCCCCTGGGGACGTGGCTCCGAGGCCCCCTGTACCACGAGGGACTTTGCAGACGCAATGAGGTGAAGGAGGATTGTGCAGGTGCCCCCAGGGGTGCCACAGCAGCTCCGAGTGAAGCAGGAGGGCAGGAGGGCCCAGATGTCAGGGGACAAGGGTCACGAGCTATGGACGTGCCAGCTGCAGCCAGTCTCCAGGGAGAGCTGCCCCGCAGATGCACGTCAGGCTTCCGACTATCAGAGCTGCAAGAAATGTGTGCTGTGTGCATGTGTGTAGTACATTGTGTGGATATGCACGGTGATGCATGTAGCATGTGCTGTGTGCGTGTGTGGATGTGGTGGATATCTTGCATGTGGATAGTATATGTGCATGCAGATGTGTGGTGTGTGCATGAGTGATGTGTAGTATGGCATGCATGAGCATAGCATGTGGTATGTTTATGCATATAGTACACATGTGCACATCTGTGTGGTATGTGCCTTGTATGGATGTGTGGTATGAGCATGCGTGATGTGTAGTGTGTGGCATGTGTAAGAGTGTAGCATGTGTGTGATATGCTTGTGCACATAGTATTTCTGTGCACATGTGTGTTATGTGCATGTGGCATGTGCATGTGTGGTGTGTAGTATGTAGCAGGCAAATGAGTGCAGTGTGTATGCAGTATGCACATTTGTAAAATGTGGGCAG